TCTTTAACTCTTTACTTATAGTTTGTTTCTTTAACTCTTTACTTATACTTTTTGTCTCTTTAACCCTTTACTTATAATTTTTGTCTCTTTAACTCTTTACTTATAGTTTTTGTCTCTTTAACTCTTTGCTTATAGTTTTTATCTCTTTCACTTTTTACTTATAATTTTTGTCTCTTTAATTCTTTACTTATAATTTTTGTCTCTTTAACCCTTTACTTATAATTTTTTCTCTTTAACTCTTTCCTTATACTTTTTGTCTCTTTAACTCTTTACTTATAGTTTATGTTTCTTTAACTCTTTACTTATACTTTTTGTCTCTTTAACTCTTTACTTATAGTTTTTGTTTCTTTAACTCTTTACTTATAGTTTTTGTCTCTTTAACTCTTTACTTATAGTTTGTTTCTTTAACTCTTTACTTATACTTTTTGTCTCTTTAACCCTTTACTTATAATTTTTGTCTCTTTAACTCTTTACTTATAGTTTTTGTCTCTTTAACTCTTTACTTATACTTTTTGTCTCTTTAACCCTTATACTTTTTGTTTCTTTAACTCTTTACTTACAGTTTTTGTTTCTTTAACTCTTTACTTATAGTTTTTGTCTCTTTAACTCTTTACTTATAGTTAATGTCTCTTTAACACTTTACTTGTAGTTTTTGTTTCTTTAACTCTTTACTTATAGTTTTTGTCTCTTTACCTCTTTACTTATACTTTTTGTCTCTTTAACTCTTTACTTATAGTTTTTGTTTCTTTAACTCTTTACTTATAGTTTTTGTCTTAAGAGACAAAACTTTAAGTTCCCAAGTCCTTGAAGTTCTGCACCTTTGTGACCTCTGCTCCTTGTATCCTCACTGTTCCACCTCCTCCCTCTCATTCACACACGTACTCTGTCTTACTACGGCCGACTTTCATTCCTCTTCTTTCAAGTACATACCTCCACCTCTCCAAGTTCTCTTCCACCTGTTCCCTTTCTCACCACAGATCACAATGTCATCTGCAAACATCATAGTTTGTAG